GTTATTAAAATATTTAAACCAGAAAATTTAATTCACACTCATATTTGCAAAACCTATACAAATAATATATATGCCTATTACCTTATTATTAAAGACCGGATTTTGCATAAAATGCATGTTGTAATCTACAACAACATAAACATGCAGTAAATGAGTGTCCACAAATCATTACTTGATTGATTATATATCAAAATTGTATACTGCATATTTTTGCATATTCTGACATTAGTGCATGTTCTGCATATTTTTGCATATTTAAACAAAAAACACAGATTATAGGGCCTACTTATATCACTAATGTATCATCTACTATTTAATTTTAATAAAATATTTTTTTTACAATGTATCAATGATTAAAATTTAAAATACAATTTAACAAATTAAATTTTTGTATAGCATATCTGTTATATTAATATGTTATACATCTTAATTTTTATTAATGAAAATTTTAATAAAATTTATAAATAATTATCACAGCAAAATTGAATAAAAATTGAAACTTTATTTTGCATGTTTTGCATTTTTTTCTTGCATATTTGCATGTATATTTTACAATTTAAAATGCATATAAATCCGGTCTTTACTTATTATTATGTACAATGTACTATTACTCCAAAAGATTGTAAACAATTTAAAGTTCATTTTGACTGAACTATATTTCTCCTACAATRGAATTTAAGTCTTGGGTAGTATTTCGAATAAAGTATTCAAATTTTTTAAATTCTTTTACTAGAAGTATTTTATTCCTATAAAAAAGTACATTTTACTAACAATAATTGTTTTCTTTGTTTTTCAAGAAATGTTTACAATAGTGTAATGATATGCTCAKATATAATGTTTATAAGTTGTTTAAATATTCAATAAAATAAATAATGGTCAAGTTGTCGCACGCAGATAACTGTTGAAWCCCAATAAATTCCTTTAATCACTGATGAAAGGAACGATTTGGGTTGTTAGGTCACGTAGGAACTCATACGTAGTTTTGACAATGTGGTGCCCCACGTGTCATCTATTTTGTATCATGCCAGAGACATGGGATGGTCCAATGAGGGTCTCTGCTACCAAGGATAACGGTAAATCTTTGGAAACATAGAAGCCTTTAATGGAGCCGCCTGCGACTCTGGCTGGCTTGACCACTTTGTCTACCATTTTCAGTACACAAGTGCACGAGCACCAACTACCACTGCAACAACCCTTCATGAGTGCATGAATACCAGCCAAATCAACCACAATCGGATCCTGCGAGCGACAACTGACTTTTTCAATTCTTAACAAAAGATTATCAATTTGTATATACTTGAATTTGAATCTTTAAACATTTTTTTAACCTTATTAAGTCATCATTCTGCCTAAATCAAATACAGCTGCGAATAAGGTTTTGGAAGGTTTTAGGTGCATGAACAACATAATATTATCTATATAATTTTTATAATGTAATTATAAATTTTTTATAACTATGATTTATTTGATCATATTCTCAAATTAAGATTTTGAGAGCCCTCCAACGATCAGGAGGAAGGAAATAGTGCAAATTTGGATATTCTATAACACCTATATTTCATATACCACAGCTATTATAAGAGCAGAGAACGATACAGAATCTAATTAATATTAACTTCCCTTATTCATAAATTAATTTTAATATAACTATTGGCAGGAGTCTTAGTTGTATTAATTTATATTTATTATTCTAATAAATTTTTATTTTATTTTACTACTTTTATATTTTTGAGTTATTACAAAATGGTGCCGTGCAACTACATGAGGCTCGCACTCTGGRCCCTTAGATTAAAAGCCCAGATAGATCAGTYACACATTTTAAATCAAATATCACTTAAATTAATATAAGTTTAGGATTATTAAAATTTAAAATTACATATATTGGCGGAACATAATTTTAAATTTTCCCGTAGAAAAGTATCATAAGTTTAATATTTAAAACTAAAACTACAAAGTATTTAAAATGCTGTATTCGTAATACCATTTTTATGAAGTATTCAAATAAAAATGCCTAATTTTATKTATTAAATATTAAAATTCGAGTATTTATTTCAAATTTGTTTCAAAAATACTTTACTCAAGTAAGTATGAGCAAAAAGAAATAATAAACATGCATATTATTTACAGTAATACATACACTCATTACA